GCAGGGTCGAAGCATCGAGCACGATCTTCAGGTGGACGAGCGATTGCGGCGGTCGGAGGCGAGAGGGGGGGTGGGCATGAAGGCGGTGTCAGGGGCGGGCGGAAAGGGTGGTGGAGCACCTTGCGTGTGGGCACTAGGAGGGGTATGGAGGGGTCGGAGGGGTCGGAGGGGTCGGTAGAGGGGTCGGAGGGGTCGGAGGGGTCGGAGGGGTGTGGAGGGGTGTGGAGGGCTCGGAGGGCTCGGTTAAAGATACCCTGCAGGCATACGGAAGTGGCGTTTCCGTGGTCTGTGCGCGGACGGCCCGGGGAGGATCCTGCGGCGCTATTTTAACCTGCCCCGACAGAGTCTCTCGATACGGCGCGCGGCGGCGCCGCACCCAGCAAGCTGGGGCCGCTCCTTACGGACTCGTCGCTGCGCTCCTCAAGGCAAACACGAAGCGCGTTTGGTCGAAATACCTGGGGTTTCTCCGCTAAAACGGAAGCGCCACACAGCCTCCAGACACACACACTCATATGGAGCTCCTCGCTCGCCCGCCTGGCGGCGGCAGCGGCCATGGCGACGCTGACGGCGGCGGCACTCGTGGCGGTGACACTCGTGGCCGCGGCGGCGCCTGGGCAGCAGAGAGAGCTGTCGCTGCAGTGCTGGCGGCAGCTGGCGGCGGCGGCTGGGGGCGGCGGCTGGCGGCGACATTGCTGGCGGCAGCCATGCGGGGGCGGCGCTGCTGTGGCGGCGAGGCGGCGGCGTTGCAGCGCCCTGCCGCAGCAGGCCCGCCCGGATAGCACTGGCAGTCTGCCGGCGCGGCCGGCGCATTCGAATGCGCCCGCCGCGCCGGCAGACTGTTGGATGGCCACAGTCGCGAACGTGGGTGAAGTCGTGCGGCGCAGAGACCAGCTCATTCGCCGTCGCCGGTCCCTCGATCACGGGCGCCGTCGCCGTTGACCCGCGTCCATGGGCGGGCAGCAGGCCTGCAGCCCTCCAGCCCTCTATCAGATAAACCCCTCCGACCCCTCTAACCCTCTCGTAGGGCACTCTCGGAAGCGCCGCGCCATTCTTTTTTTGCGAACCCTCCCGGAGGCCCTTCCGACCCCTCTCGAGCCCTCCCGCCACGAAGATCCTCTCTTTGTCCGACCGTCCCTCCGAGCCCACCCGGCGCCCGAGCCCTCTTGCCTACCACCCGAGCTCGGGGGGGCGCGAGCCCTCCTGGACCCCACCACCCCTCCCGCCTCGCCCAGCCCTCCTGACCCCTC